CTTTCCCGTTTGAGTGCAGTCATGCAGCTTTTTGATAAAAAATAATGCTAAAGGTGAGTTGCACAGTAAACTGTTGCACGTATGCACAGTCTGCATATGTCAAACCCACTGTCTGGTCTCAGTGGCAGTGGAGTTAAACCACAGTGTGTGTCAGGATCTGGAACAGTCTGTTCTGACTGAGTTGAGTGGGTCAACTCCACTCAGATGTGGAGCAGAGTGCAGCAGGACCACTCTAACCCAGTTTTCTCTCCTGGCTCCAGTCTGCAGTCTCTGTGAGAGATCCTGGGCTGTGTTCTCTGCTCTTTCTTTCCTCTCACTCAAACCTCTGCGGCCTGGATCACAGCCCTCTGCCTGCAGACAGTCCTAAGGGAACAGCACTGCTACGCTTTGTCTGTGAGTTTGTGGGAGGGAGGGGTGGAAGGAGAGAAAAACGGGGGCTGGGGCTGTCACTCCCTGAAAACTAGAAAATTCATCAACCACACCCTTAAGTCCACCCTCCACTCTCTCTACAGGTCTCCTCAGGACAGACGCTGTCAACCAGGCTGCTCAGTCCCATCTGTGAAGTTTGTTAGGTGAAACCTCAAGCCACTGCACAAACTGTACAGTGCGTCTGCCAAAACCTCAGACTTATGAAAGAACGGTTCTTACAACATACAGTACACACACACACACACACACACAATCTCTATTCAATTCAGTAATGTACAGTTTATTTCTCCTTTTGATTTTTTGTTACATCTGCAGAAAACTTTCATAGAACCTTAATGTGTAAGTTATGACTATCTTTGGACTCAAATGGTCTGACAAGCGTTTTCACTTGGATTTTCTTAAGGACGAGCAGCAGCATAAGTATATGGAATGTATTTCAGCAAAAAAAAAAAAGAAAACTCACTTCTTTGTTGAAGTCAGTTTAGAAAATAGCTTGATGCTGCTGTTTAGGAATGCTCCCAATCTAATTATGATGCTGCATGACATTACGACTGCCCATCATCCTATTAAAAACACGGCCATTCTTCAGTTCAACACTGGCCGGGCATCACCTACAGCGAAGTTACCAAAATTAAACTGACTTGGCAACAGGTAGACTATTATTGTGTGTATGTGTCTACTCTGCAGTAGTGGTGGAAATAATTGCTAGACATGGGCTGTTGCTGCATAATGTAAATACTGCATATACTGTTGTATATATCTACACACATCTGGGTTAAATCCAGGGAAATGACTCTGGTTATTGTAGTATTATTAAATTAGTTGATAACATATTTTGTACTTAAACCAACACCATTTTGTAGACTAATGCTTTCTGTCCAATTCTAATAAAAAGTGACAAAATCTTCTTCTTTAGGAAGAAAAAAATGAATTATTATTTTATTATGTATTTTTTCTGTTGTTGTCAACTAATTTAGTAGTCAACTTATCAACTCCTGTGTCAATACCCAGAACAAATTTTAATAGTTCCATACACTGTCAGGGTTCACATGGAAACACAATAAAATGTAAACAGAGATTGACTTTACCTGAGGAGATTGCCATGTCCCACTGCACCAGACCGACAGAAAACTTCACATAGCAAGTTCAACGAGTCATACTCTCAACGAAGTGACAGGTTTACAAGAACAAAAAAAGAAAATAGCAGCTGCAGGAGGAGGCAGAGGAGAAGACGTCTGAGTGGAGAGGGAGCTTTTCCTCTCACTGTCAGCTCCACAGGTAGCAGAGAACCTCACATTCCCTGCCTCTGGATTGATCGTGTATCTGCAAGTGCGTGCATGCCCTGACAGAGAGGGCGTGTGTCGGTCGGTCGGTCTGTCTTGCACTGCTGCCTGGTTAACAACAAGGTCCACCCATAGGCTTCAGTTTCTGGATTACACCTATTTTGCCCCACCATGTTCCTGTGAACTTTCCGGAGCACATGTGGTTGCAGTACTTCTCTGAAGCAAAACCTCACACACACACAACCCCTCCTTTTTAATTTTTTTCCCTATTTTACCCGCTTTCGTTTTCTTCCCGCTCTGGAAAGTTATGCAATACTGCCATTTCACACACAACCCCCGCCTTCCTTGTCTCCCCCCGCCCCCTTCCTCCTCCTTCCTCCTTCTCCTGCAGCCTGTGTTGCCACGGCCATTCTCCACCTTATATATTTGTGAATGATCTAAATCACCTAATTGCACCAGGAACAACTGAGAGACATGTTGTGGCTGGAAAGACGAGAATGGGAATATCTTTGAGAAGGAACCTTGTTGTTGTGTCAGCCCTCAATAAAACTGACAGACTCTCATAAAAGTGCACACAGGCACACTAGTACACACTGATGTAAACATTTATCTTTGACCCTCATCCTGTGAAAACATCACATCTACACACACACATTTACAGGGCTGTGCTTTCAACAAGGAATGTCCCGCCTGGGTCCATGACTGGAGGAAGGAACCCAACAGGATAAACAGATTGCATAACCAAGACCCAGAGATAATGATTAGATAAGGTTTACTCCACTGAGTGGGCATTCCACTGTTTCACCACCGCTACATGTACTGCAACATACACATGCATCTACATGAAATACAATTCTCTCTGTGCTATAAAGATTGCTTCACGACAGACGAGCTCCAGCTTCACCTGCAGCAACATGTCGCTATTCTGCTGCTGAGAAGACTGTAAGAAAAAAGACCGACCTGAGAGGAGGTTGTTTAAATTTGGGAGTGGTAACCTGGGGCTCCGTGTGTGTGTATATATATATATATCTGTGTGTGTGTGTGTGTGTGTGTGTGTGTGTGTGTGAGAGAGAGAGAGAGAAAGAAACAGAGACAGAGAGTGTGAAAGTGTGTGTGTGTCTTTGTGAAGTAAACATTGTCCTGTGATAAGCGGTCACAGGACCACTGACTTTTCTTAAGGGTTGCAAACCTCATTCCCACATCATCTGTGGTTCACATGGTGACATCAATACACCTAATATTTTACGGTGACAGAGGCCGGCACACTGCAGAAATACATCTATGCTCTGAAAAAGAAGAAACAAAGCTCATGTACGTCTGTTTGCCGCTGCTGTTGTTTTCATTTGTGTCGCAAATGACTTTTTAGAGACTTTTAACAGACTTTCACACAGCTCATCCAAACTCTGGTGTGAACAAAACAAGTACAAAAGTAAATATAAGTGACACACAACCAAATGTGACCTCTGCTTTTAACCCATCATCAAAGTTAGCAGGGGGCAGCTTGAAGGGGGAGCAGTGAGTGAGGACGGAGACATGTTCAGAGCACCTCAGTGGTAACTTGGCAGCTGGTGGACTTGAACCTGAAACCTTCAGGACTCTAATGTGCCAGGTGCTAATTAAACGTTTGCAGCCAAAAGCAATAGAAACTGCCTCCGTTTATAAAAAGGAACAATGGCCAATCTTTTACTAGCCTTTGTACAGCCGTAGTGTACCCTGGTCTCCGCCCACAAAAGAGAACGCGGGTAGATTTACTATATCTCTGCTCAAATGCTCGGCAGTATCAGTCTGACGTTGTAAAGAAGAAACACTCAGGTCTGTCACCGTGACAACACAACACTTTATACTGTGGTTTTACACCATAGACTTTACAAAGGTCTTAACGAGAACAAAGCCATTCGTGAATTATCTGTGCGCTTTTGTCAGCAACTGTGGGTTCCATGTTATTTTTTTGTCTTTCTAATCTGATGATGCAATCAGAACCAACAACCGGAAATAACCACGTTAGATTAATTTCTTTTTAAAGAGAGACGTTTCCTGTCAAAATATCCCACAACATAAAAAATATAATTCTGTTTTGTAAAGCTACAGAGCCATCGTGGATATAAATCTGCAGGGTACTGGCCGATAGTTTGAGAAAAAGCTGTAACAAATATCAGGTCTAGATTGTGAGTACTAAGTACCTGAGATAAGGTTTTACCAGTTTTGGAAATTCATTTCTTGTGTCTGAGCTGTTATAAACAGTCCTCATCACATACAGAACACAGGGTGTTATACAAGAAGCCAGAAGTGCTGCCTGTTTTCTTAGTCAAATATCAATAACAGTAACCAAATGTCTGCCTTTATACGGTCTAATTAAACAAGCTGCCATTTAGTGATGATGATGATAATCAATTTCACTCTCTGGTTCACTTGCTCATTGGGAGGAATAACATTAAAAACATTAATGATGTCATTTCCAGTCTCACACAAAGAGTCAAACTACTCAGAACCATCCACTCAAATAACAAACATGAAAAGCATCTCATCCCCAAAGTTAAAAGTCGACACAAAGACTGCAGGACTATTACACACAATGCCTTCTTTCCTCACTTCTTAATGCAGACCTGGTCCGGTCTCTACAAGACCTGGACTCTCCACTTACAAATGAACAAGATGTACAGACACATAACTTCTGTTTTCTCTCTACTTTCTTCTGCAGCATGACTTATGCAACATGTTCTCCAAGCACATTTATAGCTGGAAGGAATTTATATTGGAAACAGGCCACCAGTGTGAAGGATGAGGAGCTACGGTGCGTCAAAGAAAGGAAAGCAGGCCGACGACATCTGTAACAGGACAGAACGGTGTTTCATTTGCATAGATACAGTAGCTCATATAAAACCTCCTGACAGTCTTGATATCAAACAAGTTCATCTGCTGGACTTGGGTGTTCTTTGCAGAGAAGAGCATGAGACTTTATTGGGGAAGAAATGTTTTCTTTGAATATGAAGGGGCTTCGTGACATGATCGCGATAAGGTTGAGATTGAGAAGAGTCAACTGTAAGGTCAAAGGTTAGGGAGGCACCTTGGCCACCAACGCCCCACAATCCACAGTTTACAACCTGGTTACAAGCAAATTAGTGTCCACATAAGCAAATCACCACTGAAGGTGAGATAAGTGTGTGACATCACATAGGATCACGACAAGTTAGAGGTAAAATTATTCTTGGAAAGGTTTCACATGCTAATGAGTGAGAAACTGACTCCTGTTTTTGTTTTGGTTGTTTGACTCACGTGTGTTTGACTCACCGTTCTTGCGCTCCTGCAGAGGCAGCAGGTTGGCAGCAGGCTGGAGAGACAGCTCCTGAAGCTCATTGGTCACTGCCTCGCTCTGAGGGCTCGAGGCAGAGCCTGGCGTCCCACTGACTTCCATACTTCCAGGACTCGGCTCCTCCCCTCCGTGTGGGTGTGAAGTTGCCAGGGTGATGGAGAGACCTGTGGCAAAAATAGGAAATTAATCTGAATGCACTCAGTGTGTCCTGAATGCATCGTTGGATCTGATTACAAAGAACAACAACATGTGGAGGAGATTAACTAACATGTGTGGCTGCATGTAAACAATAAACCTTCTCAGGATGCATTAGACAGCACCCTTGTCCTGAGCCAAACTGTTTTGTTAAGTCTAAAAGGTTTTGCATTGTCTGTTGACAGTACAAAGTTTACCAAAAACATGGCAATACAACAGGTCAAGGTGAGTAAAGTATAGAAAAACTTGAGAGCATTAAACGTATTATTACGTACAAGTTGGATTCATAAGGAAAAACTCCAGTGATATTTGTTTCTGAGTATTTCCTGCCCTGGTTAACAGGGCATCTTTTAGAGCAGAGGGTTTTAATCAGGTGCCCTCGATGCCCAGCCCTCCATAAACTTGGGAATAACCCTGACTTTCCAGTTTCAATTATAACAACGTTTTATTGTCAAATGGCAGTGAAATGTAGACAGAAAGATCTAATCTCACCCCGTGTTCCAAATCTATTATTGGACGAGAAATTTAATCCATTGGTTTGTCTAGAACTCGGCCAATCAGCAGTGGAAGAATTCAAGAGAATAAAAAAAATAGGGATAAGTGGTAGTCAGGGTATTATTGTACAGGCTATGACTGGCCAGTGTGAAGAAACTCTGCACCTTTCTTCCTCTCCACGCCTGAGTCCCATCAAGTACACAACACAAACAACCAGGCAGTGAGGAAGAATGTGAGGTATCAGGCTAATTCAGCCGACGGGGACAGATTTACATGGTTGAGCTTTTATGGCTGTTGTTGTTACACAGGTCAGCCTTTACTTTAACTACTGAACAACATAAAAATTGATTTTTTTTCAACATTTACTCATTTTGTAAGTTTCACTTTACAGCTGGGCGACCAAATTTCATAACGGTTTTGTGTGCCTGCAGGACAGTACACCTAGGGGAAAGTTAAAGAGTTTTTTTTAGTGAGAAAAACTTGACTTGACTAGTTAAAACAAACTAAATGCACACAAATTCACACTCACCCTCACTTGCTGCAGTATGCTGGATGTGACTGGTTGTCTTTCTTTAAATCTGCTGTTGAGCTCTGTTTTGACTTAACTCCTGCTCTCTTTGCAAACAAGGCTTTTCTGACTGTGGTGATCTGACATAGACTCTGTCATTACTGCACAGCAGGGGGGGAAACAACAGTGCTGTGTCGTCTGATGTGTTGCTCTCTTCTCTCACAATCAAACATTGTGGCATATGTTTGAATAAACACACACACCAAGACACCCCACACACTGCATGTTCTCATGTGACATCACTGGCCCTCAGGGTACTTAACAACATGGTGTAAGGATGTGGAGTTTTTCTTTTTTTTAAATTTAGAATCTGACAAATACTCCACATTTTCTTTGCATATTTAAGAAAGTTTGTGTTTGGCAGGTCACCAGCGTTTGGGACCTGCAATCATTAGCATAGCAATTTGATTTCTACTTCCTGCTATTTGAGATAGACTAGTTTCCTAGATGTAAATTACTTTGCCTCTCAGCCATACTATATTGTTCACCACCACCTATTCTATGATATCAATATTATTTACATGTATATATAATACTGAAATACACATTTGAATCAGTGAGAGTTGCTGCTGGGAGCTGTTAAAGTTCTATAAGAAGAGACGGCCTCTCAGGCCGAGACCCTCCTGCGGTAAACTGAGCTCCCCCTTTACTTAATTTAGATTCAGGTTACTCAGCTGGAATTGCAGGTCCAATCCGACCAGCGCCTGGATTCCAAAATAAACATCAAATAATATTGATAGAAAAAATTGTGATTTTTATTACATTTTATTTAAGTCTGGCGCCCAGGGTGTCTGACCAGTGGAAATTCTGGCCCTCTGACAAATATAGATGGTGACCCCAGTTTTAAAAAATAAAAAATAATAAATAATATATTTTTTATTTATTTAACCCCTATTTAAGACTAAGGCTTTTAAGACTAAGGTTTAAAATATCCTTGATAGTTTGCCTTACCAGACAAAGTCTGTTAGTCACGACATCACCCGTGAGCAAGTTCTTTCATATCTCAGTCAGGAGTAGGAGAAACTCTGAGTCAGCAGACAAGAGTATACAGTTACATATGTTTAAATCCAGATGATCATATTAGACGGCAGTCTGCAGATGTGAGTGACTCTGAAGAACCAGAAGAAAAATGGCCCAAAGAGCCGAGAGCCTCTCCACTTACAGTGAGAAACCAAAACTGGAAAATGATCCAAGTGTGGAATGAAATAACAATATAGTCAATGATGATGACAGGAATCCAGCAGGCCATACAATGAAGTGCTGACTTAGAGAATACAGTTAGACAAAATAATATTACAAGGAGGTGACTCAGTTCCTTTCACAGTCCCTGGATAATAGGATCTCACAGTGTATCATATGTATTAGTGCAAACCACTGTGATTTAACTGTGACGTAATGTTAAAAGTGGTTTTAAGAAGTGATGATCTGTGACTCATGTAGAAAACATCAATTTCAGTTAAATGGACCAACATATTTGAATTGATGCCATTCCTACCTATATTTCACACAGACCCTTAGCTGCAGTTAAGACTGCAGACTATGCTGCTCAACTCCATTTATTTTGATGAGACATGTTTTTTTATTGCTCTGTCTTCACATTACACATTAAATTCAACCTCCATCCGACTCTAGTGACTCTAGTCAAAAGATACGGAAGAAAACAGATTATCTCCTTTGGTAAATTCTCATGACAACAACAGATGCTTCATCTTTAGTTCCTAAACAGACAGCTGCAGTTCAAACATACACGGTGTGTACTCTTCTGGTGTGAGGCAGTAGAGATTGACATTCACATCCTTCTCCGCAAGCATACACCAACTTCACACAAGTTTGCGACACACAGTGATACACACCTGCTGACAGTCAGACTTTCTTCACCATCTCACACACTGAAAAACAACTAGTATCTAGACTTCAACCACCTTCTCAGTTCCCATCAGGCAGGTACAGGATGTGGCAACCTGCCGCCGTACCAACGGTACGAACTAGGCCTTGCTTTAGCTGCTGAGTCAGGTCTATGACCGTCCAAGAAACTACAGAATTTGCTCAATGATACTGTAATGTGCAATTATATAGACTGGCATGACAGTGCTGTGGTTAAGGCTTCAGTGTCATCAGGATCTTGACAGATTAGTCTGAGTGAAGCATTTGTGTTCTTCACAGAGCATTACTACCACTATAGTTGTGCATTGTATTCTATATATATTTCAATAAGAAAGACTAAAGGTAGAAAACGTATTTACGGTAGAGCCGTAGAAGGTTTTTATGACGTTTATTTTACCCAAGCTTAGTATACTGCTGTTGCTTACCTTTGCTATGAATTCCTTCAGAGGCGATTACCCATTTCAGAAGAACACAGCTTCAACTGGTTCTGAAGAGGAGAACAACAAAAGAATGAGGCTTCATCAATAAACACCTTATTATTATCTGCTTCTGTCCTAAACCAATGTCTCCATTACTTTAACGATTATTGTTCGATAGTAAACAGGGCGTGTGCATGAGATAATAATGCAGCCGATTAGAGGAGGCCAGAGGAAAATAAACAAACAAACAAAGACAACGACCAGACAAAATATAAAATAGCCCATGTCACTGGAGGCCTGTCCACAGATGTCACAGAGAGCAGCAGCTGCAGAGGCAGCCAGCTGTCACTGTCCAAAACAGACAGGCGGACATACTATGCTATTGTTAGCATGCCGGAGTGGGAGTTAACCCTCCGCAGCCTGTATACAATTTGAGGTCATGCTACTGGGTAAAATACAACATAAATTTCATGGAATTACTTAGATTACATTAACGGTGACATTGCATACTTCTTCCTATGAGTGGCTAACAACCGGGCCCTTCTAAACAGTCTACCCAAGTTAGCTTCATTAGCACATGCTAAACCATAACTAGACACCAACTGCGAGGCGCTACTGTTCTGCGCAGTTACGTCACATCTATCAGAAGCATAAATAACAAATAAAGTATTGGAAATTAGTAAATAATACGTTTTCCCCTTACTTGTCATGGTCTTTGGCCCTGTATGTTGTGTTTCTGTGACGGTAAACAGCTTTGGCATCACACCGACACTTCCGAATCACAAAGGAAACTTTAACCGGAAAACCCTCCTCTTCGTCGGACGCAACAACTCACTTCCTCCGTCAGTGTCGTATATCCCTTGACAGTTAACTGGTACAGCGGCTATTTCAAACTACAGCGGCCCATGGTGGAATTCAAATGTAAAATACAGCTCTTAATGTTGTGTAATATGTGCACAAAACGTGGTGACAAGAGTGAAATTAAAATAAGGAAGTAATGCCGTACTGAAAACAATGGATCAGCTTGCTCGGTCTTTGTCTTCCTCTAGCGTTATTACGTGTGTACTACAAGAGCTACAGGTTTAGATTTTTTCTGTTTCCTTACACTGGGGAAATATAGTATAATCTGGATGCTATGGTCAGTTTTAACATCATTATTGAATCTACTGTCACAAATTATCGTTTTATATATAATGTTTACATATTACAGTATCCAAATACTATGTAATATCCTACATTTAGATTTGAACGAACGAGTGATCCGTCCATCTGATAGAAAGAAATTTACATTTACATTTTTTAAAATAGTGTCGCTTCGGCCCAGAGGCAATGTCTCTGTCATTGGTGTGGAACCCCAGGGTTCACCTCCTGGGCAAGATCGAATCCCGGTTAGGGCGGTTGGCGCCTTCCAGTGGACTCACCACCCGCAGGAAGGTTCTTGGGGGCACTGGTACGGTGCAGTGTGATTTGGGTGGTAGTCACGGAGACTGCTGCCCCCGCGACCCGGCAACGGATAAGAGGATGAAAATCAGTAGATGGATGGATGGCTGGATTTAAAAAAAATAAATGATCTGACAAAGCAGTCCAAATAAAAAGTAAACAATATTTTTAGATGTTGTTATCAAGAAAAATATTTCAACAACCGCTTACTATTTGTTTAATAAGTTCAAAACCTTTACACATTTTACTAAAACGTTGTTATTTTGTCAGAGCTACAACATCCTGTTTGTCACCGGCTACGGCAAGCGAGGAGTGTCATAGAGCTTCAAGTGATACGGGGTAGTTCCACAATATCAACACTGAGGAGCAGCAACTATGTCGGAGCAGGAGTCGCTGAGGTGCTCCAGTGCCCGGAACCGTGGAGGTGTCCAGAGGGTCGAAGGAAAACTGCGGGCCAGTGTGGAGAAGGGAGATTATTATGAAGCACACCAAATGTACAGGACTTTATTTTTCAGGTAAATGGAAACCATTTTCAGTCGCTTGTCATTTGGCTGTGGGGCCTCAGTTTTTCAGATAATTCCGTTGTCAACCGTGCTGCCGGTACTTGCCCGCTATTGATTGGTTAAAATTCACTAAGTGCAAACCCACTCTAAATATTCGGGCTTTTCATTGGTCAGGTGTTGTGGCAATCTTCACCACAGCCAATTATGACCAGTCTGTTAGCTTGTGGTTAGCAAAATTGCTTCGGCTAATTATCTAGCTGCCGTTAGCAACATATTGCCAACCAATGACAGCTGAAGCAGTTTTGTCTGAGTTAGTAACACGAATTAGCCAAGAAATGTTTGTTCTACGTGGTTAATGGCAGTATACAGTCGCAAAAGTCTAGTCATTGAAACGTTACTACATTTTACATATAACCGAACTAACTGCCCGTTTGTGTTAGCCGGTTAGCAATAAATTGCACAGCCGATTGCGATTGCTGAAAATAGCTTATCTATCTTCATTATCTACTTCAAGCTTATCTACTTCATTTATGGGAGGTTTATAGTGTAATTGTTACACAGATATTGGTTTAACTTACTAAAGCTGGGAAATCTGTTCTACGCTACAGTGTTACGTTTTCATTAATTTCATATGTCAGTCTCAACAGTAAACATACTAATACTATGATTTGCTGTCAGGGAAGGTTTAAAAAAAAAAAAGAAAAGATTTATTTGGTTGTTTTTCAATCCAAACTCATTAACCTCATTAACTCGTAGCCAAGATGTAACTTTCATGTATTTTGTTGTTAATGTATTGGCATTCGGCATATTGTCATTCTATATATATATATATACATATATATATATATATATATACACACACACACACACACACACATGAATCTTGAGACAAAAACGTTAAACTTGTTTTTTTAAGCTACCAGCTAACCTCTTTAACATATTTATTCCTTTGACTCTGCTGTCACTTCTGATTCTGGCTACTAACCCTCACAATCATGTCATTTACACTTAACCCCACTTGTGAATATTTAGATGATCAGAGGTTTGTCTTCCATCAGGTACATGTCACAGGCAAAGCATGCAGAGGCCAGAGAGCTGATGTTCAATGGGGCTTTACTCTTCTTCAGTTATAACCAGGTACATGTCATGTAAGAGATTTCTGCACGTACGTCGTGTTTTGAGCATTAACATGGTCATAGCAAGTTGAGGTCACATTCCTGTGTAATTATTAAACATGTGTTATACTAAATATGTCACACCATTCTGCTTTTATTTATAGCGAAACAGTGCAGCAGATTTATCCATGTTGGTGCTGGAGGTGTTGGAGAAGTCTGAGACTAAAGTTGAAGAGGAAATATTAGGTGAGAAGTCACATTGAGGCTGAGAAAACGGCAGTGTGTGCACGAGAATCAAGAGTTTGAATTAAGTCATCCTAACGGAGGCCTTCTCCGCTTTTCTGTTTGTTGAGCAGATAGCCTGGCAAAGCTCTTCAGCCATATGGACCAAAACTCACCAGAAAGGGTCACATTTGTGTCCAGAGCCTTAAAGTGGTCCACAGGAGGGTCCGGAAAGTTGGGTCACCCAAAACTGCACCAGTTACTCGCTGTCACCTTGTGGAAAGGTAATCAGTGATTTCTTTTCCCCAGTCTTGTATAAACAGGTCTGTTTTTAATATATATTAACACTAACACTCCTGAAATGTTTGTTTTTGTTTTGTTTTCCAGAGGAAAACTACAGTGAGTCTCGTTACCACTTCCTGCATTCGTACGACGGCGAGGGCTGTGCACAGATGTTGGTGGAGTATTCAACATCACAAGGCTTCTGCAGTGAGGTGGACCTGTTCGTGGTGCAGGCCGTCTTGCAGTGCGTCTAAACATTACTTATTATAACATTATCTTGTTGGACTGAGCAATGTATCGAGTTTTCAAGAATTATATAATTATGTTTTTACAATATTGACTTAATATAAAATATCCATTATATCCACATCAATAACTCTGCCATAAAATTAAATTCAGGAAACCGAAGAGGTTATTATTTTATGTCTATGAAGATTCTTAGTCATCCAGGACATGGTCAAGGTTGAAGGCAACAGGACATGAAATTTTCTCAATAAGACGTTTTGCCTCTCATCCAAGAGGCTTCTTCAGTTTTCTTTTAAGCGATAGCTCTTTTTTCTTTCTGTGCCCCTGCCTCTCTTCCTCTGTCTACTTTCTCACACAGAGTGACAACATGGCAAACACACAGCAGAACATTGACCAATTTACAGGAGAGAAGAAAATGTTGTTTGCCAAACAGAAAATTTGCAGTTTAATATTTCAGAAAAGGTTTGGATTTAGAGTGTTAAATAAGCAGCAGTGGTCTTTGTCCAAAATGCTGAAAGCCAGATCAAATCAAAAGCTTAACTGCTTGGTGGAAGCTTGGACGCTATCTTCCAGCTCCACAGACTCTACATGATCCCACAGTTATGTTTCTGGCTTTGTTTTTCTACTGTGGCCTTCAGGTTCCTCTGCTTAAAGAACAAAAACAGTGCATCTATGGTGTTCAGCACATACACAGAGAAACACCCGTCCATAGAGAAGGGCCCTCCCTTCGTCCAGCCTCTACTAAACTTTATCTGGTTTCTGCTGCTGGCAGTGGATGGGTGAGTGGGAGTTATTATTTTCATTACCCATAAACCTTGATATTGACAGACGTAAATGACAAAAATTGCATTTTATATTTGATATGTTTCACTTACTGTTTCCCACAGGGGTAAATTAACCGTTTTCACAGTGTTATGTGAACAATATCAACCTTCCCTGAAGAGGGACCCAATGTACAATGAGGTGAGTGATAATGACACTGCTTTGCATGTGGTAACGGTCAGTGACAGACTGCAGCCTATGTACTGTATATCATGTACAGAGTTTGATTGTATATCATTTAAATTATTATAATAATTTCATTTGTATATAACGTCGCATTGGACTTTATTTATGGACTCTAGCCACATGCACATGATTATTAGTACCAGGGAAGTTTATTCTCACTGACCTTCTATTGATTGACATCATAATAATTAGTCTTATTTAATAAGAATTTCTCTTTTTTTTCCTTTTCTCCGCTGTGCGTCATTTTTCCTTCAGTATCTTGATAGAATAGGGCAACTTTTCTTTGGTGTTCCACCCAAACAGTCTCCATCATATGGTGGGCTGCTAGGTGAGTGATCATCTTCTCGTTTGTGCAGATTGTTAACCTACAGTCATTTTGATTTAACTCGTTTATTTCACACCACTCTGTCACCTGGTGCAGGAAACTTGTTGAACAGCCTGATGGGTTCAGTCGAGGAGGACGACGGGGCTGAAGAAGCCCAAGAAGACAGCAGCCCCATCGAGTTGGACTGAGCCTCCCTGATGGCCGCCAGGAGAACACAGAATCACAAACATGACAGAGACCTCTGTCAAGTCCCTTCATCACCTCCTCAGAAGTGAGGAATCAACACGTTTTTTGCGTTTTCAGAGGGAGTGCTGTTCCTAAAAACCTCAACTGTCATGTATAAAGTAGAATAAATTAAAAAAGAAAACCCTGTCAGCACTCCCTGGATTGAAACCGCCATGAACAGCAAACTCTTCCCTGGTTTGAATAATTAAAGATCAAATTATTTTATGTTAACGCTTTGGTTGTTGGAAACCTTTCTCTATTTGAAGGGTCTGTGGGGTTTTTGTTGTTGTTTTTTTTTTTTTAACAAACTAAAAATTATCTTTGTGAAAACTGTTATAAAGAGATGAGGGAGATTGTACATTTGGTAAAACACAGAACCTCCTATATAACATGGATGCCATGATTGAACGAAACTTTTATTTGACTAACTACAGCTCTTTTATTTTGTCCTACCCTGCTGTTTCCATTAGGAGTCTTATCTGTCAGATGTAAGTTATAAAATTTCAGTTCAGTTTCTCACCTCATGTTTTTCCACAGTCCTCTCATAGGTCAATGTGTAAAATTACTGTTTTCTCCTGTTTCTCGCCTCTCTGAGATGTTTCTCCAGGAGAATTTTACTGTTCTGGTATCACCCGCTGTTGATGAGTCTGTAAAGTAATAACTGACAGAGGAGACAAAATGAGGCAATGTGATAAAAATCTGGTTTTGACTCATTCTTATTGTACACATTTCAAGAAAAAGTGGCTGCTCACCTGCTCTTTACTTCAGGTCAAATTCTTCTCTTGGAGGTGAATCAATGACACGTTAGGTCTGTTTCCAAAAAATAAAGAAGCTGCTGTTGCTGACCAGTGTTCACTTCGTCGCTCAGTCCCAGAACTTGTGTGGTCCAGGCCTGGACCAACCCCGGTTCCTGTAGTGGCACTGGATCAGTCTACGACCTGTAGACCTGTTTGCTGTTTTAGAATTTAAAGAAAAGCACTAAGGTTGGGGGGAGTTCCTGTCACGTCCAATTTGTCCTCATCTTCCAGTGGAGATTCATTTAATGTACTTCAGTATAATCAGAAGAAAATGCAAAAAAATAGAAAGTTTAAAATCTAAGTTGAAATACCATGAATAAAATATATTCTTCATACAGTCGTGGCTGAACCAATGTCAGTCCTCAACAAAGACTTAAGAGAATGAGAGGTCAAGGGATAGGAGCGGTTGGAGGTGGTGTGAACTTTGTAGCTCCTTTCTTTCAGGCTGGAATGTCTGAGTCAACACTCAATTACCTCACCTGTCACCATACTAACTTTCTTGGGATTTAATAGCAGCACTGAGTTGCATTACTGCCACATACTGAGATTCTTTTTTTTAGTTGTCCTTAAAAAGCTCCCAAAGAAAAAATCATTTCCCCACTAGCATTAGAGAGAGTGTGACATTAGCTGTACATTTAAAAACATCAGGACTGAACATAATTAAAAATATTTCGAGTTTTCTTCAGTTTGACTTTATACACAGGTATCAATCCACCAGGATTGAACTATTGAGTCAGTAATAAAGGGTGTCACCAAAGCCCAAGACTGTGTGTGTGTGTGTGTGAGGGCATCATCACAGCGTGTATTCCATTGATTTCTTTCTTGATGAACTGGAGGGAAGTGTTTGCCTCTCAATGATTCACTAAATAAACTAGAAAAGAGAAGAGTTGGAGAAAGTCTTGAACCAAACTTCCTGTCATTTGTCTCATCCAGTTTCTGTGGTTGATGAGGGTCTGATGCTAAAGAATATTTCATCTGTCCAAATGTCAGTCAGTCAGTCAGTCAGAACTAGGTGCTTAACCAACCTGGAGAACCAAACTATACACACACACAGGCAGTGTTTCAATATAGTGCAGTTTATTTCTACAAATACATAAAGATTTGAAAGTGACAAAGCAGACTGACTGACATTTGATCTTCATAGAACCTTTTCTATGCTTCAGTCTTAGATGCTGTAACTTAGCTGTGACTCATTGCATGTTCTGATAAACAAGTGCAGCCTATATTGTCCAGCCCACATGGGCTGCAGCCAACACCAGACCATGAATCAGAAGTATGTTAGCCTCTACCTGCACTTGCTGAAGTGTCTGCCAAGATGTTTCAGGTGTAGTCGCTGCAGCGCTATGGAGTTTGTCAACTTCTGGCCAACAAGTGGGCCCAACATAGACTAAGTATGAATGGGGGCACAGCGACAGTGTCGATCTGTATCATACCAAAGGACTGTCTCCTGCAATGTTTTCTCTGGTCCGATTCTTCTGTTGGCACAAAGCCCATGTGTTAAGAACAAGTTTGTGAGCTCAGGTTCTGGACTGCAGCATCAGTCTCTGGACCGTGTCTGTCAGGTGGGTCAGGTCTGGCTGCTGAGCCTGGTGCTTGATGTGCTCCAGAGTTCGAACCTGGGAAAAAAAACACTTAAATACTTTGTCTGCAATAATATACATTATACATTATACATCAGGGGTTAAAAGTGAGATGAACTCACAGAGATCCGTGTTTCACAGTGTCCATGTTTGTGGCTGAGGTTCCACAGGTTGACGGCCAGCTGACTCAGCTTGTTGTTCCTCAGGTCGCCGTGAGCCAGGAGAACGCTGAACAGAGAGAAGGCCATGGTGCTCTGACGGCGCACGTACTGCTGCGAGGGGAAAACAAGAAGGACACACTGAAACAGTTCAGGCTCCCAGGTTGGTTGTATGGTTGTAGTACATGTAACTGCAGTACATGTGCCACTGATGGTACTCAAGCCCCCCCCAGTGGTAGGTGGTGGAATATGACACAATACTGGAGACAGGTCAAACTACAACTCTAAAAAAACAGAGGAATCAGGAGAATAAATTGGGTTTATAGTTCCTCATATGAACTAATCTTTATATAAAGAATTTAGCATTTTTGTTTAAATTTCCATGGCCATAATGATGAAAAGTAAACATAAACCAGTGCTTCTGAGCATCTCCCACCTCTTCACGACCCAGTGTCTTTAGGTGATCTAGGACCTGTCCAATCAGAGTCTCGCTCAGCTTGTTGATTTCTGACAGAAACTTTGGGTCTCCTCCGTACAGAGTCTCGTTGGAGTCCACTGAGTCCAAGAGAACGAGACAGAGAAAACATAAATGTCTGTGTCATACAGTACAAACCACTACCTCAGTGTGTGGGATGTTACCTTTGGGGACAGAGTAAATGTAGGTCTCCTGGCTCATGGCTGCCAGCAGGGGCAGTGCACTGACGTAGACCCGCATTTTAGCATCACTGTTTTCCTCCCAGGTGTAATCCTGGACCATGTTGAGCAGACCACGGACCAGGTAGAGCACGCCATGCTCTGGATGATCCTGTAGACAGTTACAGGTGCCCAGATTAGTAAAGAAGACACGTAATCTGTTAAAAACAGACTGAGCTGAGGAAATAGACATTACAGGGATGACTAGAAGAGTGGCCAGGAAGTTGTTGACAAAGTCCAGCAGGAAATTCTCAGAGGAGCGTAGTTTGCCTTCAATGCTGATGGAGCGAGGAACCTCAGGGAGAACACTGACGGCTGCCTTCAAGAAGGCATCAGCTGTAGGGAGGGGTGGGCGGACGGAAGTAGAAAAGGTCAAATAAGAGGCACAAATGTAGGATGTAGGTACAGAGATGAATAAAAAGTCAAGGAAATACGAAAGAATTTCCTGAAAAAATAACGTTTGAACAGGAGGCCTTCACTTGTCAACTTGAGTGAAATGTAGAAACAAATCTTAGTTTTCACCTTGAGAGAGACACTGATTGGCCAGTGCCACCTGACCAGAGAGCAGGTAGAGGTTGAGACGACTGAAGATGCTGCTGAGGGACGGGATGGTGATGAAGCTGTAGGCTGCACAGGCCTGGACAAACCACAACAGAGGACCTGAGACTGGACCTTCTGTAAATCTCTAAACACAGGTGAGAACATGCAGTGGGAAAACCCTGACTGATGCTGACACTTCCACTCACCCTCACAAAAGCCGCTGTCTTCCGTGAGTGATTGCCCTTCATCACCCTCCTGGTCTCCATGGCCAGACGGTTCACCGTCTGGAAATTCAGACAGGAGTTTGAGCATCAAACTGATGAGGAAGCATCAGCGTTAATGATAAAAGGGTTTGTACTGACGTGAATGAGTTGAACCAGAACTGGCTCCAGGTTACAGAAGGTGGCTCTGGCCTCCACGCAGAAACTCAACTGCTGCTCAAAGTCCCGACCAAAGGACACCTGAGCAGAAACAGAAATGTTGCTGAGCAGAGAACAAAAACAAAGATTTTGTCCAAATAAAAAACTGTGTAGCCTAGCTTTAACAAATCAAACTGTTGTGAGTATGTTCAATATATCATTACAGACTTCCATTACAACATTTAGCAAAAGCACCAGCTCCATTGAAAAGAAGAAATGATAGCTCACCATGCGGATAAAGCCGATTATTAGCAGAGATAGTGATCGTTTCTCATCCTCCAGAGTGAGGGCGCTGCAGACCGAAAGGTCATGGATATTTACTTACTCAACTGACAAATATAATAATTCATTAAATGAAATCAGTAATTAAATGGAGGACACCTACTTCACAGAGTCGTGCATGGCCTTACAGATGTGCAGCATGGCGTTGAGTATGACTGGGTCTCTGGTCAGGTCCACCTGGTGTCTGCAGGAGACACATATTACAGTCATATTCGAGGTAACATAAAGGTGAAGGAGAGTTGGATGTTACAGTTTGTGCATAAACTGAAATGGCCTTTTACTTGATGAAGACCTCCATGATGGACCTGCAGACCTCCACCCTCACACTGTCCTTCTGGAACATGTCTAGAAATGGCAGGAAACGCTCCTGCAAAACAACCATTCCTGAATGACTACTCGTCCAAAATCTGATCCGTCAGTGGACTCATCAACTTCTCCCACCTCGGGGTCACATCTACCAGCATATATATTTGAGCATTTATACTTTTAAATAATGTGCAACAAAATGGTGAATGATGTTTGGTTAATGGTTAATGACATTTACACTCAATGCTGTGTATAACTGTAATTATGATTGTTCCTAACATCTACTACATCTACAACTAAAACAATCTGCAAGATTTTTAACATTTAGCTTCTGATTGGTTAAAACTCACCATGGAGAAAAGGATGGAGAAGTCATGGAAGTAGGTGAGGATCTTTCTGATCACTGACTGGAGCTGCAGTCAAAAATAACACTGAGTCAGCACAGAAGAAGAGGTAGAAAAATAGTGTCCGTTTGAGCTTTTTACCTGAGAATAAGCGTCTTCAAACGCTCGGTCCGGGGTCATGTGTTTGATGATGTCAGCCAACACGGTGTTGACCTCACGTTTCTTAATAAAATAAGAAAAACAGATGATCAGTCTTCATTGAATCAACTGAAAATTTTGGTTAAAGACTTGTATTAAACAAGAACCATTTCCCACTAAAAGACTGGAATTATTTAGTTAAAAGACTGAGACTAAATCAAAATAGTTTGTCAAAAGCAGCCATTAAGACTCTGGAATGAGAAACCGCCTGTGTGTCCTTCTGTCTTTTACTCACTGTAAAGTGACGGCAGGTGAACTCCACCCAGATTTCAGCACAGATTATATAATCCTAAAAGAAAATACCACAGCATTATAATCTGAAGCATTTTCCCTGAGAATATTTCATTCTGAAAAGCAGTCTTGTTTTTACCTGTGGACTGCGGACCTTGGTGATGACCTTCCAGGCCTCGTTCAGGATAGTCAGCCTTTCAGATTCTGGAGGGTCGGCACAGGCCAGACTACGACCCAGAGACCCGAACAACAGATGCTAAAGGCAGGGCGGTAGATTATATGTTTGTTTTTACAATTCAGTTCAACCAATCAGCACTGCGGGATTAATCTTCATCTTCCAACTGACCTTAGGGAAGCCAGTTTCATCACAGTCTTTAATCATCCCGATAAAGTCAGTGGCTCTGGCTGCGACGAACTCAGGCCTGAATGCCCTCATAACTGAATTCAGCAGTAAAGCACTATGGGAAAAAACACAAGACAAAAAAAAATCACACATCAAATCTCTTTGCCACACATCTGTTTTACTGTTTTTTGGGCTCTTGACCTTTATGTTGGTAAAAACACTCACTTGTTTCCCAGCTTCTTGCATCTCTCCATCATTTCTGTCAGCAGATGCTATAATTGAGATGTAACACAAAGATGTATAAAACAGTACCATTAGCAGCAGCAGTTCGTACAGTGAGTCCTGTGTCTTCCTGTACCTCTGGGGCTCGGTGGGCGATGCACTGCAGAATCCAGCTGATGGCAGGTGAGTACAGCGTCAGGTACTCGGGTATCTCCACCCTCTGGACCACCAGCTGACTCCGAACGCTCTCCCCGCTGATCTGACGAAAGGTTGACAGCAGGTCGAAGAAGTTCCTGTCCAGGCTGTCTTTCAGGTGCGGAGCCACTTCAATGCCCACCTGGAAAAAAAACAACACATCCCACGGAATGTCACTTATAGTGTCACTAACCCTAACCCTAACCTTAACCCTAGTGTCACTGCCAATAATCAACGCTCTTCAGGTGTGTGATCATTGTCCAAAATAAAGAAGTAAACAAGCGTCTCACCCTGCAGAGGTAGGCTCTGGTGTACGCAGCCACCAAAGGGTCTCCAATCCCTCTAATCATAGCTGTCAATCGAGGGAGGGTCTCCTGAATGCCTCTATGAAAAGACAGGAGACATAATGGACAATATTGATTCTCTATAGTGGTTCAAACTACTGCTCAGAGAGAAGGAAACTCACGTTTTGTTGAGGAAACGGTTGCACTTGAGAATTGCTGTCTCCACATATCTGTTCAAGAAGGTTAAAGCACAAAATGACCATAAGGGGGAGTCCTTTGTCTCTAGGATTAAAGATGACATTTTTGTGAAGCTGTACAAACCTGTGAAAAATCACAAATTAAGCTCTAACAAAACAAAAGTAGAAACATATTGTATCCTCTATAGTCTATCTCTAAAGGATGAATTAGTTAATGTCAAAACACAATAATGATTTGAATAATAAGCACAGGCCTGAGATCAGTTTACGTGATCTGAGATCATGTGCTAATCCTAGTCAGAGCACAGTTCTGTCTGACGTTGGTAAAGGATACAGTCGAGGCAGCAACTCTCTGATGGAGGCGATCTTAAAGAACCAGTTAAGACAGGTTTCTTTGGCCGTGTCGCTTACATCATCCACCGTGAACGACTCTAAGTAGAAAGAAGACAAGACAAAGCAAATCAACAAGAGTCACCTACACAAGAACCACCTCTGTTTCCTTCAGGATGGACATGTCTCAGACTTACCTGGCAAAGGTCTGGGATCTGAACACATGGTCCAAATTCTGTCATACACCAGGCCACCTTTGATATAATTGTTTACAGAGTGAGTTGTGTTATTCATCAATACGACCTGAGCTAAATGACAGCAGGTCTGAATCTCACCAAAGGTGTCCAGGATGTCAGTGATGAGAACAAACTTGCTGGGATAGAACTGGATCACTGAGGTGTCAGACAGGAGCTTAGAACACTGAGATAGTGAAACATATGTAGACACAATTAGACACAAATGTGATATAAATGTGCTTTTAAAATTAAAGAGTTTTTTCCCCCATTAAAGACTTAAGACCTGAATGACAATCTTCAGAGCCTTGACCTTCTGGTCTGAGCCCCAGGCCTCC